AGCTTAATGGTAAGTCATGACGTTGGGTAGTTCGGTCTTCCTACCATGTTCTTCTTTGTCAGTATTGTGTGGGCTATTCTGGATCTTTTGCCTTTTTTTTTTTTTAAAGAGAGGGAGAGAGAGAGAGAGCACAAGCAGGGGGAGCGGCAGGCAGAGGGAGAGGGAGAAGCAGGCTCTCTGCTCAGCATGGAGCCCGATGTGGGGCTCAATCCCAGGACCCTGAGATTATGACCTGAGCCAAAGGCAGACGCTTAACCACCTGAGCCACCCAGGCGCCCCTGGATCTTTTGCTTCTTCATGAAATCTTTAGAATCATTTTGTCAATATCCACAAAATAACTTGCTGGGATTTTCATTGGGATTGCACTGAATCCATAGATCAAGTTGGGAAGAACTGACATCTTGACAATCTTCAATCTTCATATTCATGAAGAGTTTCATAGCTTTCTTCATATAGATCCTGTACATATTTTGCTATATATATACCTAAGTGCTTCATTTGGGTGTGTGTGTAAATGGTAGTGTGTTTTTAATTTAAGGTTCCAGCTGTTCAGCTGGTATATAGGAAAGTGATTGACTTTTGTATATTAACATTGTATCCTGCAACCCTGTTGTGATCACTTATTAATTCCAAGATTTTTTTTTTTTTGGTTGATTCTTTTGGATTTTCTACATAGACCATCTGTGAGCAGAGTTTTATTTCTTCTTTCCCAATCTGTATACCTTTTCTTTCCTTTATCGGTCTTATTGTGTTGGCTAGGAAAACTAATCTATTTTTGTTTTAGTTTTTTTTTTTAAAGGTTTTATTTATTTGAGAGAGAGCACGTGCACGAGTGGGGGGCGGGGGCAGAGTGAGAGAGAGAAGCAGACTCCCTGCAGAGCAGGGAGTCTGATGTGGGACTTGACCCCAGGACCCTGAGATCATGACCTGAGCTGAAGGCAGATGCCTAACTGACTGAGCCACCCAGGTGTCCCTTGTTTTAGTTTTTATTTATTTATTCTATTATTGTGTCTAATTTTCCTATTATGGACCTTTCATTTAAATGTAATCATACAATATATGGCCCTTTGTGACAGTTTATTTCACTTAGCGTAATGTTTTCAAGATTTATTCATGCTGAAACATGTGTAAGCAAGTACTTAATTTCCTTTAACTGCTGAATCATATTCCATTACCTGGCTATATCCCATTTTATTTATCCATTCTTCAGTTGACAGGACTGGTTCTTTCATCTTTTGGCTATCATAAATAAAACTGGTATGAATGTTTGTGAACAAGTTTTTGTTTGAACACCTGTGTTTTATTCTTTTGTGTATGTACCAAGAAGTGGAGCGGCTGGGTCACAACCCGAACTCTATATGTTTAATCACTTCAGGAACTGCCAGACTGTTTTCCAAAGTGCTGAACTCTTTCACTTTCCCACCAGTAGGGCAGGAGCGTTCCAGTTTCTCCACAGCCTCTCCGGTCTTGTGATTATTATTTTTTGATTGTAGTCATCCTGATGATTGTGAAGTGGTGTCTTGTAGTTTTAATTTGCATTTCCCTGATGGCTAAGGATGTTGAGCATCTTTTCATGTGATTACTGGCCATCTGTAGATCTTCACTTTCTTTCTTTCTTCTTTCTTTCTTTCTTTTTTTTTTTTGATTTTCACTTTTCTTGATGCATATCCTTTGAAACACAAGTTTTTAACTTTGCGGAGATTCAGTTTTTCTATTTTTTTCTTTTGTTGCCTGTGTTTTGGTGTCAGATCAAAGAAATGATTGTGTTATCCTGGGTCACCCATGCTTACTCCTGTGTATTCTTCTAAAAGTTTCATAGTTTTAGCTCTTGGCACCCTTGTCAAAAATCCATTGACCATAAATGAGGTTTTATTTTAGTTTCTCGATTCTTTTTGACACACCTGTGTCCATCTTTATGCCTGTCCTACACTATCTTGATAACTATAGATAGGGAAGTGTATGTCCTCCAATATTATTGTTCTTGTTCAAGATTATTTTGGCTATTCTGACTCCCTTGAATTTCCATATGAATTTAAGATTAATGTGTTTATTTCTGCAAAGAAGTCATCTGGGATTTTCATAAAGATTGTGTTGAATCTGTAGAACATTTTTTGGATTATTCTAATTTTAGCAATATTAAGTTTGCTGATCTATTGAACATGAGATATCTTTCTATTCATTTACATCTTTAGTTTCTTTCAACAATTTTTTTTAGTTTTCGGTCTATAAGTTTTGCACTTCCTTTGTTAAAATTATTACCAAACACTTTCTTCTTTTTATGCTATTCTAAATGGAATTGCTTATTTGACTGCACTTTCAGATTGTTCATTGCAAGTATATAAAAATACAATAGATTTCTGTGTATTGATTTTGTAACCTGCAACCCTGCTGAACTTATTTATTAGTTCTAATAGTTTTTTAGTTGATTCTTTAAGATTTCCTATATACAAGGTTATATAATCTTCAAATAAAGATAGTTTTACTTTTTTTTTCCAATCTGGATGGCTTACATTTCATTTTCTTTCACATTGGTGTCTTTTTGGAATATGAAAAAACTGACTTAGAACTTGCCTGTCTCATACCAGGCTTGTGAGGCTCAGTGTGTACTTTCACATTCTCTTCTCCACCATACCCAATTCCAAATTCTTTTCCTCATACCATGCATTATGATGTGTTCTGGTTTTTTACCACGCCACCCCTGCTCCCAGTCTAGTTTTATCTGTCCATCTGTCATTAAACACAGCTCTTTAGCATCCACTTCTGGTGATGTCTGGGTCATGGTGGCATTGGTCTTGTAATTATTCTCATTTTCATGATTTGAATTCTTAGAAAACATGATCATAATATTCACAATGTTAAAAATGTTACTAGCAATATCTTGAAACACAGCACCCCAGTCGCATAGGTAAAATCAAAGGCAGACCATTAACATTTGTGATTACAATGCAGTTATGCTGGATACTTAAATCCCATCAAGTGGAGTGAATCACGGTAATGGATGACCCGTTAGTGGAAACTTACTGTGAACTGCAAGTCATGGAAAACTGACAGCAACTATGGAAGATGGATCATATATCTATGCATATCCATTTATCATTAAAAATAGTTTTGCTTTCAGCTCCTATTTTGGGGGCCACTGTATGGATTTTGTCCATTCCCCTCAAACTTCCACATCTATTTTGGAAAAATGGGACTTTCTGCACCCTGGAATGGGTTTGCTGGGATGTGGGACTTAACGGTACTAAAGTTTGGATGGTCCTGGAGAAACCAGGACAGTTGGTCCCCCTAATTCTGCTCCTCTGCAGGTTGGGATTCTTCACATTGTAACCTGGATGCAATGTACCTTCCTGGGGCCTCCCAGCTGAAGGGGCCCATCTTGTGACTGCTGGTTTGCTGTTTAACTTGTTTTAGGACAAAACCATGAGACTATGGAATATTGAAGAAATTGACCAAATTCCTTTGGTAATCGAGTACAAAAATGCCCTGGGCTTAAAGGTGAAACAGGTTGGTATTGGGTAATATTAAGCTCAATGAAGGCTTTTATTAGTGTCCTCCACAAATGAATTTATTCTTTGAACCAACATTTATTGGGCAACAGGATAAAACCACGAACAAACTGAAATTCTTGCCCCGAGGGAACTTATGTTCTAAAAGAGGAGACCATGAATAAAAAGCACGAAAAATATGTTGTACGTCACATGCCAATAAATAATTTGGAGAAAAATAACATAGGGAAGGGGAATGGATGGGAACGCTGGAGACTATTTATTTGAGAGAGAGAGAAAAAGCACATATAGGTGGGGCAGGGGCAGAGGGAGAGATCTGACTCAAGCAGACTCCCAGCTCAGCAGGGAGCTGAACGTGGGGCTCAATCCCAGGACCCTGAGATCATGACCTGAGCCGAAATCAAGAGTCAGCCACTCAACCCACTGAGCCATTCAGGTGCCCCTGCTGGTCACACTTCAAAGGGTGGCCAGGATAGGTCTCACTGAAAAGGTTAACATTTGTTAGAGACCTGAGGTGGTGAGGGAGTGAGCTGTGCAGATGTTTAGGGGAAGGACTTCCCAGCAGCGGGAAGAGCCAGTGTGGAGGAGACTCTGAGGCAGGAGGGAGCCTGGGGTGTTTCAGGAGTGAATGAGTCAGAGGAGCATGGCTAGGCACACAGCTGGACATGGCATTAGCCTCCTATGCTTTAGCAGCAGACCCCTTGGCCAGGCTCCCAGTGCCTTCCCATGAAAGGGGCTTAGGTGCCTGTTTTTCTCTAGCAGAGGATGGTGGTAGTAGGGTGGGCAGATCTCTTTTACCAGGTGTCGCCAGGGCTGGCCACAGAGTCTATCCCTGCGTACTGGAGGCCCAGCCCCTATGAGAGGGCCTTGCAGTATAGACACTTGGCTGCACCTTGAGAGACTTGAGGAGTCTATGCTGGGTCCTCTGAGTCCTCCTTCCCTGGAGCTACCTAGGCTCGTCTCCTCTTAGAAGGCCCAGCTGGGAGCCACTGCTGGGCATGGCTAATTTGGAGCAGCACTGCAGGGCAGGGAGATGAGGGGTGGGACCAACATGGATCTTGTCTTTGTGCCTGTGTGGCCATGTTGGCCCTTGGGCCCTAGAGGCTGACTAGCTACAGAGCAGTGCTTGCCCGTGTCCTCCACCTGCCACCTGGGACATGGCCCCCAGGAGCCTCTGAGCCCTGCCATTTTGGGGTTGAGCCATGGGAAATTATGCTACAGAATAAGGTAGGTAAAGGACCAAACGTCTCTCTTACAAAACAAAGAAAAGAGATGAACTTGAAGCTGTTCCCAAGATGAGCCCTCTGCGTTTGTCTTGCTCAAAATCAATATAAGAATCCTCAGAAGCCAGAGTTTTCCAGAGGGCCTGCCCTGGGTGGGGTGTGGATGCCTCTCCCGCAGGCCTTAGTGCCCTGAGTGGGCAAAGGTGGCAAAGCACAGGGGCTTGGCGTGCCCTCGCAGGGCACACCATCTTGCAGGGGGATGGTGCTGTGGCGGGCATCCCTGAGACCCCTGCCCATGGCCTGACGGCCCGGCCCGTAGTGTTGCTCACTTGTGTGTGGG